AGTTTGAAAAAACCGTGGGGCTGAGCTGTCGTTACAGACAGTGCTTTCTAACACGTATGATGTCTTAGACTCGAGCCCCAGCATGAAATAAACCAGGCATGATGGTGCACACAAGGAATCCCAGCACTCAACAGGTAGAAGCAGGAGGACCAGAAGTTCAAGGCTATCCTTAATTAATACATAGCAAGTCTAAGGCCAGCCTGAGGCATATAAGACTCTGTCTCACAAAACAACAGTAACAACAAAGAAACAACAAGAACTCAACTATGTCCCCTGTAGGACCTGAAGCCACGAACAGGTAGAGGCATAGGAGAAAACAACACTGATTCCCGCTCTCTTTACCCAGCGTTGTACCTTGGTCCTGTCCACACTTCCATGTGATCTTCCTTGGAACGTCTCATACTCACAGTGGAGGCAGTAGGTCTTTGGCAGCCTTTACTCAAGTTCCTGCCCCTCCTGGCCATCATAGAAACACTGATGTCCAGTAAGTAGGAGTCGTTATTGAAATGGATGCAATGGTTTGTCATCGGTGCCTGCTGTGGCTGTCTCTCACTAAGAATCCTCACAATGTTCTTGGAAGATGAGTCATCATTTCACAGATAGGGACATGGAAAATGAGAGATGGTGTCATCTAAAACATCACAGCCCCTGAGGAAACAAAGTGTTGCTTTCTCTTCAAGAGGGCACTGCCACAGCTGAGGCGAGTCTAGAGGGAAAACAAAAACAAAACAGAATGACCAGCCGAGGGATACAAAGGTGGACCTTAGAAAAACCACCAACCGCTAGGAAAACCTGTTCCTTCCAATCCTCCATGGCCAGACCTGGGCAGCTGAGCACTGCCATCTAGTGGCCATGTGCCTCCTTCAGACAGCACCATGGGATGGGGGTCAGCCAGTCTTGATCCTACCACCATGCTGTACTTGCCCTGGGCAGGATGAGTATGCAGCAGAGCCAGCAGGTGACACTCAAATTGCATGGCCACTTGTAAGACTGGCCTCCGTGGGAAACATGAAGACTGGTATCTATGAGCCGAAACCAGTGTCAGGATTGCCCCAGAAGGTGTTGACGCTTTGCCTGGTAAGCAAAGGATCATCTGTCAGACTTTAGTACAGAGAGAGGGACACAAGGAGGCCACCTTATCCCCACTCTGGCTTGAAGTGGAGCTCAGCTTGGCTGCGGGCTCTGTAGTGAGGTATCCTAGCATCTGTCTCCATGGTTGACAGCACCCTGCCGTGGAGTCTAAAAGTCTGCTGGAGTTTGGCCTGAGGCTTTGGTGTTGGAGAGTTCTGCTTGGGAAAAGTAGTCAGCCAGAGGATGAGGCATGAGCCAGGCTGGGAGGATGGGAATGCCAGTGGCGACTGGGAGGGCAGAAGGCCTGCCTGTTTTCCCACCAAGTGCCTGTCTGGGGCAGATACGCATGGGTATGGTGAGACGTGGGCTGGGAATTTGGCTAGAGGCTTACAATTGTTGGTTGTGGAATAATAGGCTTTGTTAAATGAAAGCAGAGAGTGGAAAGCGATACAGCTGTGAAAACAATGATAGAGGTAAATGTTTATTGATTTAGAAAGATGTTCGCAACATATTGTTGAAAGAAAAGCAAATTACAAAATAATTGGTGCAGTATGGGCTTGTTTTGAAAAAAAATGTATTTATATGTGTAGAAAAATCTGGTGGTGTTTATCTCCATGTGGCAAAATTATGGCTAATTAAATATTTATATGTGTTTTCTGATTTCTCTACAGTGAATGTGTAATAAAAATACTAATAATGAAAGTTTGTACATCAACTGCAACCAGGAATGTTTTTCCTTTGTCTCTACGCGCAAAGACCCTTTGAGAGGCATATCGAGGATCTGAAAGCCCAGTGTGGTTAGGATGGAACTTAGGACTGCATCACGGCCCCAGGGAAGGAGCTGTAGGTCAGGGGCTGGAGAATTTCTTGGCTGGTACTGAAACAAACTTGTATACACAGGAGGTGTGGTGGCTATTCCTGGTTGTCAACTTGGCTATATCTGGAATGAACTGCAATCCAGAATTGGAGGGCTCACTTGTGATCTAGATCTTGAGGCTGGAAGACACAAGTTTCTGACCTGGATCTTGCCATGAAAATCTTAAGGCATAGTGGCAATGAAAAATTTAGGCCCAGGCAAGGGAATATACGCCTTTAATCCTAGGAGACTGAGGCAAGGAGATCTGAGTTCAAGGTCAGCCTGGGACAAAGCAAGTTTTAGATCCAGGCGTGGTGACACACACCTTAATCTGGGCAACACCTTCTGCTGGAGACCTACATGAGGACATTGGAAGAAGGAAGATTCACTCTTTGACTGCCAGCACATCTGTTGGAATTTACTTCACAGGAGACCACCTGAAACAACCTTGTGAGACTGAGCAACTACTAGATTCTTGGGCTTCTCATCCATAGCTGCCCATTGTTGGGTTAGCTGGATTACAGACTGTAAGTTATCACAAGAAAGTACTTAATTTAGAGAGACATTCCATAAGTTCTGTGACTCTAGAGAACCCTGATTAATTCAGGAGGAATTCTCCAGCTTTGCTGACAAACTTCTTCTCTTTTCCCTTCAGACCCACTCTGTGTATACCTGGAAAGACAGGCCACACCTATACTGTGAGATGAGTCCTGAGTTAAAGGTTAATCTCTAGTAAGTCTCTTCCTTTAAAGTCCCCCACTCTTTACGGTCCCAACTTATAGGAGTATCCAAAGTCACTGGGGGGTGGGGGTGGGGGGCTGGAGAGATGGCTCCGTGGTTAAGAGCACTGACTGCTCTTCCAGAGATCCTGAGTTCGATTCCTAGCAACCACATGGTGGCTCACAACCATCTGTAACAGGATTTGATGCCCTCTTCTGGTGTGTTTAAGAACAGCTACAATGTACTCATATAAATATAATAAATCTTTAAAAGAAAAAAAAAAAGTCACTGGGGGCAGAAAGTGGTCACATAAGCCTTTAATCCCGAAGGCGCAGTTGGGGTTCTGTGAATTCCATACCTGCTTGATCCACATAGTGAACTCCAGGGGTACATGATGAGGTCCAGTCTAAAGGTCACTGGGAACTTCTCTCAAGATCTCCCTCACTATGCCATTGTTCAGGATTGGAGAAGATGTGGGTGGAGCCTAAGGGGCTCTTCCCTTCCCTATGGTAGGACTCATTAGGGAAACTTCAGCAAGCAGCCCATTGTAAGCTCAAAGGAATACCATGTCTCTGGTATAGAGCATAGGTTGTTGCTATGACAGGGACTCAGGGGTCTTAACTGGCTTTAGTGCTGGGAGGGGGCAAGCAGCCAGGCCTTGTCTGTAAGCTGGAGACCTGGCAGTGCTGAGCTGGCCTCCCCCAGGACCTCCTCCTTGTGCCCACTGAATGACTCACCTTGGCATAGACATAATGGTCAGGGGTGGGCACACAGCCTGCTTCCCGCTGTACTCCAGGCCCCCTTCGATGCTTTCCGAGAAGTCCATTGAGCTAGGAGCTTGTACTGCACCCAGAGCTGACATCCTGGCATCCTGGAATAAAAGCAGCCCATGGGGCTGCCTTTGCCGTATGCCTCACTGGCGGCAGAGAACAAGGCTCTATTCACCAAGTGCCCTGGAGTAGACAGCAGAAGCCCAAGCATGGGCAGAGGAAGGCAGGGCCGGGGGAGCAGAATTGTCTGTTTTCCAGAAGCCCAAGGACACAGATGGCTAAGGCGCCTGGGAGGGACCTGAGTGGAGGGTATAGATGGGCCTGAAGTCTCAACCCGCAACAGCCTCCCCCCCCCACCATTGATGAGGGTGGAGTTTGGTTTCCCGGACCTACATATCCCTCAGAGACCTGGTGTGTGGGGATTTAAAGGGGGCATATCTCATGAGAGAATGAGGGGTGGTCAGGAAGACATGGCGTTACAGAAAGAAAGATTCCAGCATGCACATCTAACTCGTTCATAACTACTCCGTCAGGGGCTGTCGGGGACCAGGCTCTGGGAGGGGCAAAGGGAAGCTGGACCAGGGAAGAATGGCCCACTGGGCTGGATAAGAGGCCAAAGAGGGGCTCTGGAATGAAGCCTGCTGTCTTACCCTATTAGGAGCTATATGTATTCCTTCTGTCTTGCCCCTAAACACACAGCCAGAGGCTCGAGTTGACCCTGGAGTCACAGAGAAGGCTCCAACTCCAGCCCTCTACTCCTGAACCCCAGGGATAAGATCAAATTGGAGGAGTTCAGAGGAGAGGGATCTGCACATCTGTTGAGAATGGGGGTCATGGGAAATTATAATATAGGCTGATTCTGGAGGAAGGGAGTAGGTTCTTCAAGTTCCTAGTATCTCACAGGCCCACAGAGAAGTGCAGAGTTGGGGCAGCCCTGGCTTACAGGCTCTAAGAACTGGAGGTAGCTCACCCAACCCAGCTCTGTACTCTGTCTTTGTCTCTTTGTCTCCATCTCTCTGTCTCTCTGTCTGTCTGACTCTTTGTCTCTCTCTGACTCTGGCTCTCTGTATGTGCGTGCATGCATGTGTACACACACACACATGTGTGTTTATCACACAAATGTTTGTATGTGTGCACATACATGTGTTGAGGCCAGAGGTCAGCCTCAGGCACTGTTGCCTTGGTTTTCTGAGAGAGCATTTCTCCCTGGGACCTGGAACTCACCAATTACTGGGAGCCAGGAAGCCTACTGATTTTCATTGCCTAGCACTGGAGTTTCCAAGTATGTACTGTCAAACCAGGCCTTTTGTATTCATTCTGTGGCTAGAACTTGGGTCTTCATGCTTGACAGGCAAGCAATTTATGGACTAATTTTTTTCCCCAGTCTTCTCTTGACCCATTTACCAGAAAGGGGGTTTCCTTGATCAATGGTGAAGCCAGGTTGGTGTTCCCAGGAAAGCCTTGACACTGGGTATAGTGACCTCTGTAGTGTGAGAGGAGTTCTCCCCATAGCTGGGCTGGGGCCCAGCTCCACCCCCTCAGGCTATTCAATGGGGTACTGCCAGGAAGTCAGGAGCAGATTTAGTCCAGCCCATTCCTCCATAAATGCCCTGACATCCCAGGAGCAAACAGAAGCAGGGCAGGATGGAGCGGAGACGCATCACCTCTGCGCGCCGCTCCTATGCCTCCTCCGAGACGGTGGTCCGAGGCCTTGGTCCTAGTCGACACCTGGGTACCATGCCGCGCTTCTCCCTGTCTCGTATGAGCCCTCCACTCCCTGCCAGGGTGGACTTCTCCTTGGCCGGGGCACTCAATGCCGGCTTCAAGGAGACTCGGGCCAGTGAGCGCGCAGAGATGATGGAGCTCAATGACCGCTTTGCTAGCTACATCGAGAAGGTCCGCTTCCTGGAACAGCAAAACAAGGCACTGGCAGCTGAGCTGAACCAGCTTCGAGCCAAGGAGCCCACCAAACTGGCCGACGTCTACCAGGCAGAGCTTCGGGAGCTGCGGCTGCGGCTGGACCAGCTTACTGCCAATAGTGCTCGGCTGGAGGTGGAGAGGGACAATCTGGCACAGGACCTCATCACCCTGAGGCAGAAGTGAGAAGGGGAACAGGGAAAATGGCTAGTGAGCAGAGAGACTGAGCTGAGAGGGGTGCCTGGAAGGAAGGGTACTGCCTCCGGCAGGCCTGGGTGCAGAGCCCGGGCAACTGTCTGTCAACTGCTTTTGACCCTGCTCAAGCCATTTTGATTGGTGTAGCTGCAAAGTAGAGATCATGATACAATCTGCCCTAAAAGATCGTAACCAAGGGTCAAACTCTGGGGCATGGTGCTTTGCTGGGTAGTGGGTGGGCATTCACGTGTCCCTCTGGTGCAGGAGGGGCACTGGTGTCGGTGACAGTGAGCACACGGTGGTGGATGCGCCTGTGGGAGCAGGAGCAGGTGCATGAACCCCGATAAGGCACCTCAGTAATTAGTCAAGGCGGAAGCCCTTATCTGTTCACTCTCTCAGCCAAGGCCTCTGTGTAGGAACACGACATTGCTTACTCCTCCTGCCGCTCTACGGGTCCTGTGGGATCAGTTTGTGACAGTCCCCTCCCTCTGCAGGTTAGGACAGGGACCCAAGAGTCCTCAGGAAACCTAAAGCCTATACCGTGTGTGTCCCCTATCCCAGGCTCCAAGATGAAACCAACCTGAGGCTGGAGGCAGAGAACAACCTGGCTGCGTATAGACAGGTCAGCTAGATGAGAGGGATGGGGGAGGGAGGCTGGTGGCGGCCCACCAAACACAGCCCCTGAACTTAGCCCTCCACAGCAGCTGGCTGCTTCCAAGATCCCCACAAGAAGGGGGAGGACAAAGCTGGACATTGTAGGAGGGAGGACTCTGGGGTCAAAGAGACTCTCTCCCGACTCCAGGAGGCAGATGAAGCCACCCTGGCTCGTGTGGATCTGGAGAGGAAGGTTGAGTCGCTGGAGGAAGAGATCCAGTTCTTGAGGAAGATCCATGAAGAGGTGAGGCCGGGGTGGGGGAGGGAGGCCGTACAAGACACCACAAATGATAAACGGACAGAGATGTTCAGAGAGGGAAACAGAGAAACCAATTGTCAGGAAGAAAAAAAAAAACGAGAGAAAGAGTGAAGACAGAGAGAGCAAGGGAGATTTGTCCAGTATTCACTACCCCTGAGAATCGTCTGCAGCCCCTCCACTGCCATGTTCTGAGAAACACGGACCAGGTCTTTAGCTTCTCCTTCACATCAACTCCGGGAGCCCTTATCATTATTACCTCCTTTCACAATGGTGGGGTCATTGAAGCCCAGAGAAGTTGAAACACACCCCAAAGTCATACAGCTGAAAACTCCTCTGAGGGCCTGTCATGGTGGTACGCTCTCAGCCTGTGTGAGGTAGAAGTGGACCATTCAAGCTGTCCAAGGCCAATTTCGGCTACACAGAAAAACTGAGACCAGCCTACAGGAGAGGCTCGTGTAGACGTGTGTGTGTGTCTAAAACACATGCACACACACACACACATACACACACACACATACACACACACACATACACACACATACACACACACACATACACACACACATATATACACACACATATACACACACACACACACACACACACACACACACACACACCTCTGTTCTCTGACCTCAGAGCCTGGCTGAAAGACATATTAATGCCTGGTTTCTGACTCTCCAGTCCTGGGAGGAAGATACTCTCAAACTCTCATTGCATGCCCATTAGACATTTTATTTTTACTTTTTGACAAGGTTTCACTATGTATCCTTGGCTGGCCTGGAACATGCTATGTAGACCAGGCTGGCCTCAGATCCATAGAGATCCCTAGGTGCCTGGTTGCTGGGTTTAAAGGTGTCTGTCACCGGGCTTGGCATATCATATGCCTATGAGCTTAGGCCATGCACTTCCTCCAATAACAGAGGCCCCATTTCCCTGAGCCATTGCTGTATCTGTCAGATGGAAGTGTGAGTCTGGGAGAGCCCAAGCTGTAGCCTGGGCCTGAGACTTGAGCCTCAATACCCCTTCTTTTACCTTATTAGGAAGTTCGAGAACTCCGGGAGCAGCTGGCCCAACAGCAGGTCCATGTGGAGATGGATGTGGCCAAGCCAGACCTCACAGCGGCCCTGAGAGAGATTCGCACTCAATATGAGGCGGTGGCCACCAGTAACATGCAAGAGACAGAGGAGTGGTATCGGTCCAAGGTACCTGTGGGCCAGCTTGCCTCTTCCTAGGAGCCTTCCATATTGGAGAATAAGGGAAGGTAGCTTGGAAAATAACCTATCTAGGTGACCAGTCTTGCCCAGAGAGAGAAGACTTGCCCAGGACCATGCAGGCATTACTACTTCCCAAATTACCCTTTGTTACTGCCATTACTTGTAATAGCAATAATCGTTAATAACAGCTAAGAGATTCACTAGCTTGCCCATTGTCACACAACTCCTAACTGATAAAGGGATCGTTTCCTATCCTAACCCATCTCCTTTAGAGAGGCTGCCTTTCTGAAGCCTCTGCCAGTCTATGTCCTGTGTGACTGAACGTCTACTGTGACTGAACGTCTACTGTGTGCCAGGTCCAGACGAAGCCAGAGTTTATACAGACAGTGGGAGGCAGGGAAGATGAGGCGTGGAACTTGTGCTAAACAGGCAGCCTAGAGACTCAGGAGAAGAGGGAAGGGCATCTCAGGCGGAGAACAGGTGCTGTGAGAAAGCCTAAGACAGAAAAACTCAGACAGAGACCAGAGATGCTGCTAGCTCAGGGCACCAAGCCCAGTATGAGCTGCTGAGCCTCACATGCAGTGACAGTCTGTGCAGGTTGAAGGCCTGAGAAGTCCTTGGGAGACAGTTGCTCCTCCCTGAGGAGCCCTGAGGTCGACCCCGCTTTCCCGGTTTTCTAGAAATCGTGTGTATCTCCCGGCCCAGGCAGCTCCCTGGCCTGTGTCTTGTGCTATTGGGAGGCTCCAGTCCTCCTTCCCTCAACTTCAGGTTATCTCCCGGTTTAGTTTGCAGACCTCACAGACGCTGCTTCCCGCAACGCAGAGCTGCTTCGCCAGGCCAAGCACGAGGCTAATGACTACCGCCGCCAACTGCAGGCCTTGACCTGCGACCTGGAGTCCTTGCGCGGCACTGTAAGCACGGACAAGGACCACTGGTTGGATGGGGTAGCTGCCACCCAAGAAGTTGCTGGAAGGCGACCGGGATGGAGGGAGCAGGGTGGCGTAGGCGAAGACGAAAGGGATCAGGGGTTGGGGCCTCGAAGCTTCTCGGAATCTCCCGGCCAAGCGATCAGTCCGTTCCATCCCACAGAACGAGTCTCTGGAGAGGCAAATGCGCGAACAGGACGAGCGCCATGCACGGGAGTCGGCGAGTTACCAGGAGGCACTCACTCGGCTGGAGGAGGAGGGCCAAAGCCTCAAGGAGGAGATGGCCCGCCACCTGCAGGAGTACCAGGATCTACTCAACGTTAAGCTAGCCCTGGATATCGAGATCGCCACCTACAGGAAATTGCTGGAGGGCGAAGAAAACCGGTGAGCTCACCTCAAGCCCAGAATTCTTGTTCCTTTCAGTACTCAGAGGTTAGCCTTGTATCTCTTCCCTCCCGGAGTGTTCAGCCTACACAGGACAGATATTCAATAAATGTCTGAAGAATAGATGGATCCAAACACTGTTAATTCCCAGGACTGAGGACTTGAGTTATTCCCAGACTAAACGACTCACTCACAAGCCTGGCCAACAAAAATGGAATTTCCTATGACTGCTGCTTGCTCTGCCTCTTCGAAGTTATTGTGACTATTTCAAATTCCTCCCATCTCCAAAGCCTCCATTCTCCTTCCTGGAGGTATTCTATGAGAGCAGATAACACAGTCATGCAGACTTTTCCAACTCCTGGAGAGTGTTGGCTGCTGGGATGAAAGTTAGGTGGTGGAGGCTGGAGAGATAACTCAGTAGTTAGAGGTTTGGGTTCCAACATCCAGATTATGGCTTGCAATGGCTTGTAGTAACACTCTACCTGCCATTGTATATGTATAACACATATACATACGATGTATATGATGTGTATGTGTGTATATATGTATATGTCAGTCATTATGGTGCGTGGTTTACCCCCACCCAGCACTTGAGAGGAAGAGGCAGGCAGATCTCTATGAGTTTGAGGCTAACCTGGTATATATATTGAATTCTAGGCCAGCCAAGGCTGCATAGAGAGACTTTGTCTGAAAGAGTTGGCAGAAGAGGAAGAGAGGAGAGAGAGGAGTGAGAGAAGAAAGGAGAGAGAGGGAAGAGAGGAAAGGACAGCGAAAGAGGGAGAGAGGGGGAGGAGGAGGGAGAGGGAGGGAAGGGAGAGGCCTGGGCAAAAGGCCTTTCCATGCTGGCCCCTGGACCATCCCAGCCCAGGGATGTCCTAAGGCGGCCTCGTCATCCTGATCCCTTCTCTTTCAGCATCACCATTCCTGTACAGACTTTCTCCAACCTCCAGATCCGAGGTCAGTACAGTGGGGCCTTGTGGGAAAGGGTAATAAATCCCCTCCTCCTCTCTCCATCCTGTGGACTGCTCTTGGGGACTTGGGGGGGCAAAGTGATCCAAGTTTTCCTTGGGAGCCTTCATGACCCTCCACTGAGATCCTAGACAGAGTACAGCATCCCAGGGCTTGTAGCTGGTCCTGTCTCACTCTGCCCTGTGTCCCCATCCCCTAGCTGTACTCATTCAGAACCTGACAAGGTCTCAACAGGTCTGCAGGCCGTGAACGAGTGCTGCCCTTCTGAGTGTTTTGTGTTCTTGTTCTTCTCTCTCTCTCTCTCTCTCTCTCTCTCTCTCTCTCTCTCTGTCTCTCTCTCTCTCTCTGTCTCTCTCTCTCTCTCTCTCTCTCTCTCTCTCAACTGCTTGTCACTACAGGGGGCAAAAGCACTAAAGAAGGGGAAAGCCACAAAGTCACAAGACATCTCAAAAGGCTCACAGTACAAGTTATACCAATACAGGCTCACCAGATTGTAAATGGAGCCCTGCCAGCTCTGCATTAGACAGACACCTGTCCTGCAGTCATGCACTTTTCCCAGCTTGCCTTCTTCCTCCCAGGTTTCCTCTAAGGGACTGGACCATGTCCTTTGTTCAGAAGCTTCAGTGCCCACCCTAGGTTCTGGATCTGTGTAATTAGGTTATACTGACAGAGCTAGCCTACATTAAAGGTTAGGCTATACTAACAGAGCTAGCCTATGTTAAAGGTTAGGTTATACTAATGAGCTAGCCTATGCTAAAGGTTAGGTCATACCAACAGAGCTAGCCTATGTTAAAGGTTAGGTTATACTAATGAGCTAGCCTATGCTAAAGGTTAGGTCATACTAACAGAGCTAGCCCATGTTAAAGGTTAGGTTATACTAACAGAGCTAGCCAGTGTTAAAGGCAGCATGTCTCTGGGAGCTCAAACCAGAGGCCTGAAACCTCTGAGCAAATGCCCTGCTTCACCACTTTTCTGTCACTAGGTGGTTCCCTTGGGTCTTGCAGTGCCTGTGGGCAGACTCTGATTCATGTGTCCCCAGAGTTCTATTGCTTCACTCAGTGCTGATTCAGGCCAGAGGGTTAGTTCCCTCTGGACGGCTGCTCTTGTCGAGAATAAAGCTTTATGTTTTCTGCTCTTCGTTTTAAATATTAGTGAGTGTGACTTATCATATTTTTCTCTCTAAGGGGGGTAGACCAAATTACATTTTACTGGTATGTGGCCCTTAAATGATTCTTGGACACAGGGGGAAACTCCATTTAGGAATATTGGCCATGCATATTGCAGGGTGTAGTTTACTATTAGAAAGTTAATCATGCTGACCAGGGAAAGGTAATAGTGTCAAATGCTAGCCAGTCAAGGGTCACTAGAGTCCAGATAAGTGACAGAGGGAAATAGGAATGTGGAAGGGTCCCATGTGTATTAATCACTAATCTGCACCATGCCACCATGTCCCAGGGAAGTAGGCACTGTGATCCCATTTTGCAAGAGAGGAAACTGAGGCCCCTTCCTAAGTGAAGCCCTTGGTTGTCAGTAAGCCAGGTGCCAGAACAGAAGGCAGAGCAGGCTACAGGACAGCAGCACTCTGGTGCTGAGTTGGGGCAGATGGGAGTCTCCAGCCACTTCAGAAGAGCCATGCTTTTCCCTGCCTACCTAGCTAGCCCTGTATTCATGATCCTAGATACATGATGGGGAGTTGGGAGCAGGACAGGATGTCTAGTATCCCAAGAGCCCATGGAGGCCTCCTCTCCTCATACCTGCAGAAACCAGCCTGGACACCAAATCCGTGTCAGAAGGCCACCTCAAGAGGAACATCGTGGTAAAGACAGTGGAGATGCGGGATGGCGAGGTGAGGACAGGTTCCGGTTACCTCAGGAGTTCTTGAGGCTGTACTGGAGAAAGCCTGGTACTAGCTCACTGACGGTCCCTATTAACTACCTGGAGAGCTCTGGCAGAAGGGGCAGATCTTGAATGTAATTCTCCTTTCCCAGCTCCTTCATAGGTAGTGTGCTAAGGGCAACCTGTGTGCTGAGGCCACCAGCTCTAACTGGGACAATGGGGGGCGGGGGGTGTTAAAGGCTTTCAAATTTTACCCAAAAGAACTTTCCATAGATATAGAATGGCCTTCTCCATTTGTTGGGGTGTTAGCAGCAGTGGTGACTCTTATACCATGGTGTCAGGCATGGTGTTAAAACACTCTACAAGTGGCCTTTTTTTTTTTTTTTAATTTAATATGAGTGCTCTGCTGCATATACATCCTCAGGCCAGAAGAGGGCATCAGATCCCCCTATAGATGGTTGTGAGCCACCCTATGGTTGCTGGGAATTGAACTCAGGACCTCTGGAAGAGCAGTGGGTGCTCTTAACTGCTGAGCCATCTCACCAGCCCTACAAGTGGCATTTCATACCCCAATTTGACCATGGCATGAGGCAATCACAATGACAGCCCAGGGAAGACAGATCTAGGGCAGTTGAGGGCTCGCCTCAGGATGCACAGCCTAGCAAACGGGGTCTAGGATTATTTGAGCCCCTAACCCTGCACTGTGCACCTTCCCTGTCCCTGCAGGTCATTAAGGAGTCGAAGCAGGAGCACAAGGATGTGATGTGAGGTGTGCATGCCTGACGGCCCTTGACATACAGTGTGAGGGCCCAAAGCTTCTCCTCAGATGGTCTTGTTTGCCAGGCCCAATTCCCATATGAACCAGCACTTCCCTTCCTTCTGTTTTTATGCTTGTGTGCTGCCCAAGGCTCAGTCAGTGCCAAGCCTCGTGGATGGCACATACCCTGCACCTCCAACTAACAGGATACTCACCCCAAAAGGACAATCAGGAGAGGAGGGGACCCCCAGCTGGGTTAGAACTGGAAGGAAAGAGGAAAGATGCGCAGGGCAGGGAGACTTAAGGAATCACTTCCTTCATCCTTGTTGTTATGGAAACTGTTGCCAGAGCTGAGGGTCTCTGGGAACTGGACTTTGAGTTTCCACAGGCTGCTGGGGCAAGACAAAGATTCAGACAGAAAGGAAAAGTCCCGGAGGCAAAGTATCTCTAGCCAGAGACCTATGCATCCTGAATAACCCTGACAATCTAGGAGTGAGTAGGGCAGACCTGCTACCTGGCACGGCCACTAAGGCAGTCCTAAAGGGCCCTCCAGAGCGACGACCCAAGTGTGTCAGCCCCATTGAGCAGTTCTGCAGGTTGACAGCCCACAAGCGTGTGGAAACTTGCTCTCAGCACTCGGCAGGATCTATGGCATAGGTGGAGAGGGAAGGTGTCCTGGACGGTGTAGAGAGGAGCTCCCTGGCCCCTAAGTGTGGATGTAGAGAGGTGGAGCCCAGGAAGGCTCCCTTGCTCAGGCTGCAGGGGTGCCAGCAGCGGAGGCACTGGTGGAGGTCATTTGGACATTGGAGTTGGAAGTTGTAGGCAACCAGTTACACTTGGCTCTGAATCCTGGGAATCAAGGAAATAATGGTTCTCTCAAAGACACTGAAATGGGAGAGAAGGACTTCTGTCCACTGGGCAGGGTACAGCTGTGTCTCAGTTGTGAAGGTCTATTCCTGACTGCACAGTCCCCATCCGTTCTGCCATCTCACCCTGTGACTGCTGCTTCTCAACCACAAGCCAAGGGGCCATTCCATTTCCCTCTCTCTCTCTCTCTCTCTCTCTCTCTCTCTCTCTCTTCCTCTCTCTCTTTCTTTTTCTTTTTTTTGAGGCAGGGTTTCCCTGGATAACCCAGGCTGTCCTGGAACTCTGTAGACCAGGCTGGCCTCGAACTCAGAAATCTGCCTGCCTCTGCCTCCCAAGTGCTGGGATTAAAGGCGTGTGCCACCACTGCCTGGCCCATTCCCTTTCTTATGTGTATACGTAATACCACCTATATTTTAGGCATCATCTTACTTGAGAGTTTGGGAAACTGAGGCATGTTGTGTTCAAGCAGCCTGGAGCCAAGTACCTTCATATTAGAGCAGCCTCTCTGAAGCTGATTGGTGGGCAGATGGGGAAGAAATCGAGCTGTAGGTGTCCACTCAGTTGTCCTTTCCTCCCCTACAAGATCCCTTCCTCTTCCCAGGACATTGTACCCCCATCTCACTCCTTGCCACCTCTGCTAACTTTCAGAACAGTACTGTCACCTTTACTCACTGGACAAGAAATAAAGACATGTGCCATAGGCGTCTACAGAGTGGGTCTGATTTGTTCAGGAGGTGGGATGAAGACAGACAAGACCCACCTCGTTCATTATCACAGAATGTCTTGAGAGCCTAACCCTCCATAGCGGCAGCTGCCTGTCAAATCCTCCTTATTCAGAGATCGGGTGCCCTGAGCCTTTGTTCAACTCCTCTTCTCAGCCCCAATCCTCCAGCCTGGGTGCCATCATTCAAGACATTCCTGTGCTCACTCTCCACTTTCTTCACCCTCTCCGGTCCCTTACCTGCTGCTCTGCTAGTCCCAGAACAATTGGAAGCAGAGGAGGACACGGGCCAGCTCCCTCCCGCCACTTTTCTTTCTTCTCCATCCAACCCCCATCCAGTTCAACCAGGACCCTGTGGTAGTCTTAGTCAAAGCACCCCCCCTCCCACGTGTCAACAGCACTTACAGGTGATCTGACGGATCCGTTCACTTCTTCCCGGGAAAAACTGAGAAGACTCGTGTACCTGGTCACTTCCCTCCTGACTCCAATCTCTGACCTGCCTCAGGCTCCTTCTACTTCCCAGATTAGACCCAGGCTTCTCCCAGGAAACTGGGAGGCAGGGTGTAACTAATATACTCCTTCATCACCCTGTCACGTGTCCCAGCCCAAGGTGCCCACCAGAAGCCTCTGGTATCATTTAACAAACATATTGTAACATGACTGGTCGTCACAGCTGGAGAAGGGCTTGGGCGGAGAAATTGGGACAACAGCGAGATTGGCAACAGCAGCGACAGAGGTGAATGGTGATGAAGACGATGGTGATGAGTAGATAGCTTATCAGGGTGAGCTCCACAGCTGTGTGAGTCTCAGGGTCTAAGAGTGAGGCTGGGTAGCGCCCTCGAGATGTTACACCCAACCGGAAGCCAGCGATTTTCAACCCTTGCCGCCAGCAGTAATAGGTGCCCCGGTCACTCAGCTGGGTGAAGCGGATGTGGAGATGGTTGCCGTGGTCGATGAAAACTCTCATGGATCTGTTCACACCTTTTAGGTACTGGCTACGGTAGAGGGGCTGACTGCCCTTGTCCCAGGCCACGGCATGCTCTGGTCGGGCCCCGGGACAGGAGATGATGAGGCCGTGCCCTAGTCTCTGCTGATGGAATTGAATGGGAACCTGAGGCACCCAGGGTTTGCTGCCCAGTTTGGACACATAGTTGTAGATTGCCTGCATACCCTCCCGGATCTTATTCTTCTTACAGGACTTTAGGCAGCTCTGAATGAACAGCTCAGGTGTGTGATACTTGGTCTTGATGTGCAGTTTCCATGGCACAGCCCGAGAGCCACAAGACACTACATCTGGCATAGTCTTAATGTATCGAGGTGAGAGGCCAGGGTTCTGCAAGTAGCAGAGTCCAAGGCGCCACTGTTCCCCACGCACCCCACAGCGGTCACAGGGGGTCCACTCCCAGAAGGTGGTAAAGACATGGAGGCTCCCGTAGTACTCATCTGGCAATGGCTCCTGGCCCATGTCCTTGAAACTGGCCACCATTCCTTTATTGCTCTGGATGTCCACATCATAGGCATAAAAGTAGTCCCCCTCTCGGGTGCCACAAAAATATAGGCCTGTGTCCTCCGGCTGGGCCCGGAAAACCAACAGGCTGAACATTCGGATACTGAAGCGTGCCAGCATACTGCTGCCTACTCGAACAAAAGCAGCCTCTGTAAGCAACCGCCCGTCGAAGTCTGTAAGCACTGTGGTGTGGCTGCTCCCCAGGTGCTTTTGGTAATACCAGACCACAGCCGAAACATCCTCAGGTTTGCAGTGACAGGGAAGCTCAAAGCTCATGTCAGCCAGATAGGCAGCATTTTCAAACATCAGAAAAGCAGGGCAAGGTGTCCTCTGAAAAATGTTCTCCTTCCCCACAATTTCAAAAGCCTGGACACTACCCCAGGCCCACAGGAGCACGGTGGTGTGAACCAACCTCATGCTTGTAGGAAGAAGGTTTTTGAGGGAGCCAGGGCAAAACTCGAGGCGCCAAAGACCTATGGCATTTTAAAAAATCATTGTTGAGAGGCCACTAGATAAAGGTTCAAACAGCCAGGAGAAGAAGTAGTAAACTGCAGAGGAGACAGCCACAGTAATTTATTCCCAGTACAAGATGCTGTTCTAATGCGCCAGGACCGATTTTGAGGGAAAATCATTCTAGAACTTAGCATCCTCACCTTTCTAGAACACCAGCACTTACCCAAAAATGAGCCAAGGGAATCTAGAATGAGCTGAAAGCACCCTCTTCCCTGCCTGCCTTAGAGAACAACCTTTCATCAATCAGAGAGATAAAAGAAACTCTCTCCCGCACAACTGGTCATCTGGGATGCTAGCCAGACCTGAGCCAAAGGCTTGGGGATTTCCCAGGCTCAACCTGTGGAAGAATTAAGTCTCTGGGGGAAATTCTGCATCTCAAATGAAGGAGCATTTGTTCCTTGTTGATTAGCTGTTCATTCACTGGCTCTGGGTTATAAATATTCTGGTTGGGAGTTATGATCAGTGCTTATCTGTCATCAGGGGCGTGGCAGGCTTGAGGGGTAGGTAGCAAAATACTCTCAGCCTATTGAGCCGTTGGCTCTCCTGGTTGCCTCTCCTGTCGATCTGCACACTTCAAATTACGGATTTTGGTAGTGGAAAAGCCCACCACTTGAAAAGGAGAGTGCTGTGGGTTTCAACAATTCTTCAGAAAACACAAGATTCCTTCCAAGGGGGCTGGAGAGATGGCTCAATGGTTAAGAGCACTGGTTCCTCTTCGAGGGCACCTGGGTTTGATTCCAGGAACCACATAGCAGCTCACAACCATTTGTAATTATACTTCCAGAGGCTCCAACACCCACTTCTGGCCTTCTCAGGCACTGGGTACCCACATGGTGGACATGCATGCATACATACATACATACATACATACATACATACATATAGGAGAAACACTCATACACATAAAATGTCTTTTTCAAATGCCTTCTGAGACCACTGGGGAATGCTGAGGGCAGCCAGTCCTATCTATCAATGGACCCCATACAGTTCTAGCAGCTCCTGTAGGAGCCCTTCTTCTCCCTGTAGCCCAGCAGATGGCTCTTCCATGCTGAGGCCCTCCTGCATGGGTCTGGTGGTACCCATGGCCTGCAACTTCTGAAACAAGCGCTGGCAGCTCTCTCGCTCTGCACTGCTTAGCAGGCTCAGGTTCAAGGCAAACCGCCCAGTGTTAGCCAGGCTGTGCAGAATCCTTAGTACTGCCATCCGGTCGCTCAGCTTGACATGCTCGGCCAGTGCCACCAGCAGCTCCCCGAGAAGTCCAAATCCCACGTCCATTTGGAAGAGGTGGCCCAGCTTGGGCCCCCCAAGCTGAAGCAGGGCTTGGTAGCGCTCTGGCCCACTTCTTAAGTGTCGGCGCCAATCACGGTAAAATTCTGCAGAGGTGGCGGGCTGGAAGGGTGATTTCTCCTGCATTTCAAGGGGAAACAGGTTCAGAGCTCTTCTTGCTGCTCTGCAGCTGCGATGGGGGAGAGGGAGGGCTATGAGTTTTCCTGTTAGCATTGCAATTGTTCTCTGAGCTCAGGGAGGACTGGTCTCTGCGGCCTCATTTTCAGAAGAGGGAGCTGGGGAGGGAGGAGGAAAGAGGGAGGGTGAGCCAAAAGAATCCAGGCTAGGATCTGAAGGTCTCCTTTGTACTGGGGTTTCCTCCTGAGAAAGAAAACATAGCTCTTGGCCTTTTAGAGTGAGTCAGAGCTTGCTCTGAGAAAAGTAAAATAGTGTGCAATATATCTCTGGAAGAGGAAAAGAAACTAAACTAAGTGTGGAGAGTCTGGCAGGCTGAGTCCCTCTCCAGTACTGCCCCAGGGTCATTATACTGTCTACCACCTGACCTGGCAAGGAACTTAGAGGACTGTTGAGCTCACCTCAACTCAGTACGACCATCTGATTGCTATTCTGGGATTGGGTTGTGTGTGTGTAAGTGTGTGTGTGTGTGTGTGTGTCTGTTTCTGCTGGCTTTCATGAGACATAGGAAGAGGTATGTGCTGAAAGAAGACAGGGTCATAGCTTTAACACAAAGAAATCCCGCTGGGCTAAAGAGGCTGGCCCACACCTACCTGGGGCATTTCAATGACCATATCTTGAGATGTCTTTTCCCGAGTAGTGTGACAGTTCCAGGGCACAAATCTCTTTCCTCCCATCTTGTCCTTTTGTTCCAGAGGTTTCAGGTGTGAAGCAAGAACAATACCTCTGGGTCAAAGAGAGAGATTGGGGAATGAGCTTAATGATTCCCTGTGGGGGGGCAAGCAACTTGGCTGGACTTGTTGACTGGAAATAGGGCAACTACTCCAACAACAGCAGCATAGATAGCTGAAAGTCCTTAAGCACTTCAAATGGGCTAGTTGCTGTGCTTGGGATCTTACATGCAAAGACTCATGTAACCATAGCAACCGTTCCTCTCTTTTACAGACAGAATTGAGTCTCAGACAGGTTAAGGAGCTTGGGTAAGATCATCAGGTAGCAGAGGATGAGGCATGACGGAAGCCCAGAATGATCTGAATCTAGACTGCTTGCTTTTAACTTCGGTAGCCCACCATGACAGGAGGGCCTGAGGAAGCTAGCTGCAAGCCAACCTGAACTCCTCATAGGAAGGCACCCTTTGCTCAACTGCCCGTAACTTGGCTGCGTTCTCCCTTTTATACTTCTCGTCAGCAGCGAGGGCAGCCTGCAGCTCTTTCTCCAGAGCTTTGAAGTTGAGTACATCGTTCCTCTCCATGGCTAAGGCCTGGGAAGACAAGAAGCATACGTGTCAGCAGAGGTTCAGTAATCAGGGTAAAGATGATGCCCTGGGATTCTTTGTCAGGATGTGAAATGACCCAAAGCAATCTGATACTTATCCTGGAGTGTTACAAAAATCTAGTTTCCTCCTTTACAGATAAAATGGAATTGCATGATGAAAACATATTCAAGGCTTCTCACTGAGATCAGAACATAAAGGTTTTCAGTTTGAAGTCTTGATTTTGTTCTCTGCTTCTAACAATATTTTAGACACTAAGGGCTGGCTCAGCGGTAGGACTTTGCCTTGCAAATGCCAGACCTTAGGTTTGATTCCCCAGCAAACCACAAAACCACAACACACACACACACACACACACACACACACACACAC